TGTTGAGCATGTTTGGAGGTTCCCCGGTGTTTTGGGGTAATACCGCCCAGCCATGGCGGTGGCTAGGCTGGGGGAAAAGACGTGCTAGTCCACGGTCGGTTGATTCATTTGCGGCCGACGTTCTTCCAGAAGCGGTTTCATGAGATCCCAGACTTGGTTCTCTTCGACTGGACGAGTTGTTGCTGTTATCCTTGGACTTGACATGACTCATTTTTTTGGAGTTGGTACCCCTTGTTGGGGTGGTTTGAAAGGGAAACCCAAAGGAACGCCCACCCATTTTGGGGGAGGTCCAACCTTCAAAAGCGACACCCCGCCTATGTTTCTCGGTTCCCAAGACCGCCTTTTCAAGCTTTCAAGGATCCGCACCACGTCCACTGTCGGAGACCAACTTTTCGCATGTCATACAAACCCTCGACAGATTTGTTTGGAACTGCAAGTAGGATCGGGAGATCGGACGCATCTTCCAATCCTTGAGTCTGACTCCGGGTCTGATCTTTGTGGTTGGCACACTTTGTCTTGTTTTCTGGTTAGACTGAGTCCTGTAAAGTTCTCAATTGCTCTTGGGGGGGGTTCACCTTTAAAGAATCATTCACTTTCAAGGCCCCAGCTAGATGTTTGAACCATCCCGCTTTGGGGAATACTTTGGAAGAGAGATGCGTTGGCTTCCAGCCGCCCCTGAGCGTGGAACGTGAAACTGACCCGCGCCAATTCCACGAGATCCTCTTCGAGAGTCACCTGTTGCTGTTTGCTCCTGTGAATTTGTGGTGTAAGCTGGAGTCAGGACTCAAAGCCGAACTGGGCAGAGAACTGCACGGTTTACCCACTTGGTCTTGTGTGTATGTGTTTTGGTTTTGTGTGAGGGTGCTCTTTTCAGGTGGTTTGGGGGGAACCCAAAAGGAAACCCACCATTTTGGGGGCTCGATTTTTGCGATAGCCCCAGTTGTCCAGCACAACATGTTCATCACCTCATGAGAGTTGTTCGGTGTGATAGGTTGGGCACCCTTTCAGGGCGCTGAAAGGAGACCAAAAGGAAGGCCCCGCAGTTTTGGATAGGTCCCGCAAATGGGGACCCGCATCCATGTATAGTCAATAGTTTTTACCCGTACCAACTCCTTGAAACAGTTTGTTTCATGATCTTTGGTAGGGACTGGGGAGGAGCATTCGGATGCGAAGTTGTATCGGTAGCCCGGCCCGCTATTCGCAGCTCAAGGTTGAAAGCTGAAGCCGTTCAGGAGCAGGGAGCCCCAGTTTTCGCTGGCTTGGGCAAAAATTGGTAGCAAGGCCGGCTGCCTGGGTAAAATTATTAGAGTGGTCCCCCTTCTGTACTTGCAAGTATAACTCAGTGACGGTCAGTCACCTATGGTTTCTACTCGCGTGCGTGTGTTTCTTTTGTGCTGCTTGATTTGCTCCCTTTTGGTTGCTGGTTGTTGGGTATGTTGACATGGATGTGGCTCAAAATGAAAACACCAGGATAGGGACCACAGGTTTTAGCCCTTGCTTCCACTTACCGATCGGGCAGCCCATTTTGGTGGTACCAACTATTTTTGACCACACCCCATGTGGACGGACAAAACGCTGCACCACCCATGCACCCCTGGAATGATTCTCGATTCCCCTGTAAATTCCCATGGTGTCCAAGTGGTGCGAGCTGATTTCGCAACCACCCACAGTTGTGTTTCTCTGCATGCTTTGTCATGGCTCAGACAGTCTCAGGTCCAGTCGGGAGCTGAACCCCGGCAAGTCTATGGAGTCCGCCATGCCGGAGGAGAACCGAACAACTCTGGGGTAGGGCGGTCGATTGGTGTGGGTCTGGCGGAAAACGTTGGCAACCGGGTGGGTGGCTCCTTCCTTTTTTTCGGGAGTTAGTGCTCCCCCCCCCTGATTTCGGTGGTTGTCAGGGAAGTCTAAGAAAACTGAAGTCTCTTTCTCTTTCTTTTTTTTTGGGGGGGCCCCCCAGGAGTTTAGCCCAGTTGAAAACCAAAAGGGCGTGAGTTTTTCACAACTTCTCCAGACCTAGCACCCGGCTTCTGAGCATTCGCAGGCGAAAAGCATGATGTTCTATTGAGCCATCGACTCAAGAAGTGAGGCAAGGCCATGTATGTGGCATCGGCTCGGAAGCGACCTCGGGCAACAACCGTTCCCAACAAAATCCATCGGACTACTTCAAATCATGCGTGTAGTTGTTTGCACCAGGCACCCCAATGACAGTCGAAATAGGCTAAGGGAGATCACTTTCATAGCTGTTGGCCGTTGGAGGGAGTGGCAGTCTCGGCTTTTTGTTTAGCAGCGTTCGACGCCAATTTCGCGCCAGACTGACCAGGGAGAAGTATTCTCCCCCGCCCCCCGGCAACAGGAAGGTTCGCAGAACCCCCCTTCGACTGGCATCAGTTTGTCAGAAACCGGCTGGTGGTTTCCCCGCTTTGACTTGATGTTGACCCCGGAAGCAGAAACCTTGGTTGATGAACTGGGGCCCGACACGCCCTGAATGCAGCATGGGTTTAATCCGGAAATCCCATTGGATGGCCTCATGGGTCCAAAACCGCAGGAGAGCTTCTCGTTGGGCGGCTCCAGGGACGTCTCAGGCAATCATCCAAGCCTCGGACCAAGGGGGCCACGTGAAATTATGGGGTTTGTCTCAAAATGCACTGGGGACCCCAACATAACATGGTTGGTCAAAAACAAAAGAAACGAAAGAGTGTGCCCCGCCAAAACAGACACACCCACATGAGTGCGTGCTTTTTTGAGGGTAACCCTTTGGGAAAACGGAAACCAAAGGGACACCACTCATGTTGGGTGTCCCTTTGTTTGACACACCCATGTATAAGGGTTTAAACAGTTCGGATTTTGTTGTGGGGTACTTGAAAATAGCATTTAGTCATGTTTGTCGGAGTAGGCTGTTGGAAATTGTCCACCCCCCTGATATACGGCTACTTGGATGACCGTCCCAGCATTTTGTAAGTCCCTTGATGGGAATCGTCATGACAACCCACTCAAGGCACTTGCCAACCGGGGTACTAAACACATGCCACTTGGCTGGCCATGATGATCTGTAGTTTATGAGGCCCCTTTTGGCAGTGTTTGTTATTTGACCTAAACAATCAAATATGAATATCCGCCCTCCCACCCCCCCCCCCCCGGTTTGCCAACACCCTGGCAGTGTGGGCATGGCGACATCGTGAGTTTTGCGACCAAAAACCCATTGTTGTTGCCAGACTTGGTTCAGCTTTCATCTGTTTGCCTGGTTGACATTCCTTCATTTTCCCTGGCAACCAGCAGCATGTTAACTTTCTGCAGAGTGTCTACGGTTGGCCATTGTTCTGCAATACCATCACAATATCCTGCTAAATGGCTCCAGCCAACTGTTTGATGCCTTTTGAACCAATCCAAAAAGGGGCTTAGTCACAATATGAACGTCCCACTGTCTCACAAAAAGACCGTTGCCACAAGCAACACCAACGGCTTCACCAAAAGCGACGAGCCAGACTCACTATCATCCCATACAGTGGGAGTTTGCAAGAAGCACTGCAAGCCTTGGGGGGGGGGGGGACTGACTCTAAGCAGCCCACATGTTGAACCCCAGATGTTGTGTTTTTGTGGCTGGTTCACAGTGGTTGGGCCAGAGTTGACCGTGAAGTAGCCGACCCTTTGGTGTTGCATATTCCGGTATCCTTTTAGTGTGGTCCTTTTTTTTATCGATTTTGCAGGTTCGCACAGAAGGGTCTTGGTAGTCAACGTACTGCAGCAAGTCTACTTTGCCCGCAGCAAGTACACTTGCTGTATCGTTGCGCCTGCAAGCTTGCCGGGTTGCATGTGCTTTGCCGTGTCCATGCCGAATGACATCCATTTGTTGAGGGCGGTTTTTCCTTTCGACTCCTCAGGTACATTAGAAGGTGCGCCCCTCTGGTCCTGAGGTACCAACATCTCCTTCGAGGACTATACTCGGCTGCAAAGACAGATGGAGGACAGGGGATTTGCTCCACGCCGTGGGCAGCTGAGTGCCTACCATTGTCCTTGGAAGGATCCAGCATGTGGCAAAGGCTCATGGCACTTGAGGGTGCATTGTTTGGGAAATGAAAAGACCCCGGCCATCCTACAGCTGCTTGAGAGACAGTACCTGGCGGCTTTGCGTTGGATAGCTTTCAACGGATATGCCAAGAAATTGTGAAAAGGAGAACACAAGAAGCCAGAGACGAAGATATCACTAGGGTCTCGAATTTGGATCCATTCCCACATGGCTCTATCAGGATACCTCTTGACTTTAAAGCCGCCAAAATCAGGGGTACCCGGCGGCGCAACAAAGGACTAGACTGCGGGCACCAAGCTACGGTAGGATTTTCGCTTCTTGCCGGGTGTCGGCAGGACCATCAGAGCACGCTGCAGATGGCCGGAGCGCTCAGTCCTTCCACACGGGTCTGGGTGTTCACCTTCGATCGGAGGATCTTGCCCAGGTCCCCCAGCTAGGTGCCCTCTCTCCCCTGTTTTGGGGAGGGTTCCCTATAGACTACAGAAAAAAAGGTACCATTGTTCTAACCCTACTGGAGGACCTAATCTGATAATTTTGCAAGGCTTCCAAGTTGTAAACATCAGTTGCAAGTGTATACAGAATGGGCTACCTTCTATGCGAATCAACCATGATGTGGTCAAGAGCATCTAAGTCGCTTCGATGCTGCAGACGGTGTGTCTAAAAAACGCTGAAACGCAAAGTTTAGCTGCGACAATCTGGCTCTTCGGCCCAAGCCAGCCCGGGCTTGCTGGTGAAACCCGTTGTTCCTTTTGTTTGGGAGGTGCAAGCCCCTGTCAAACCAACTTTCTTCATTTCTCGAATTGGGGAAAATGTTTTAAACAATGTGGCGGAACTACCGAAGGAAGAGTGCCCTTTCTTCTTAGTGCCACTGTAGGGGGCCCTTTGTTCCGCTCCCTTTTCGAGCAGCTCAAAAGTCAAAGATCGGATCACGAGCGCCAGCATTGGCAGGTCCCAACACATGGCTCCCTTTGTGGACCTCCCAAGAATGGCTCGCAGTGGGACCTACTCTCCCAAAAACAAACAAATCGAACCTGCGCAAGAACCCTTAGGCGTCCCTTTCGGACAACCAAACTGCTTGACAACTCCAAGGCAGCTGACGTTGCTTTCCAGTTTCTTGTTGCCGTCCTTGCAAACCAATGGCGTCATCATCCAAACTGGCCATTCGATTTTTTGGGGCCCGGTTTCAGCATCTTTGGACCCAGCGGCGTGCAACACTGCGCCCTAGACCACAGAATCAGCCTCCCCCCCCCCCCGAAGTTCTTGGCCTTACGCAAACGGGGGCAAGGTACTTTGTAGCCACAGGATCCCACCTCTATCCAGTCATTTTCCTTTGGGTTCTTAAAAGGTGCTGTTCTTGGTGACCTGCAACACCCTTTAAGGAACCAAGGAATCTGGAAAATGGAATCAGGACGGGTTCCCGCTTACAGGACTTCCAACCTTGGCTTTGGGTTGCCAATCCACGAAACCCTCACGGTACCAAATGGATTTGCCCCGAACGGTCGGGCGAAAACGCGGCAAAAGGTCCGGCACGAGTTCGCACAATATCGGCGCGACCATGCCACCCTGGCGCAACTGCAGGAGATGTGCTGTCAGTCAAATGGCTATGTATCCTTTAAACCACCCCAAGAAAACCCTCAAAAAGCACAGGCCTATATCCACCCAGGGGATCCAAGTACAACCTATTTGAGTGTTGAGGGGGTCAGATAGGCGCTAAAGTACCTAAGTAGCACCCAGCAGATCCTTTCGGCCAGTCTGAACTTGGACATTGGACGATCCCCACATTCCCCACAGGACCAGTTGTCCCTTGCGCGATGTTGATGTGACCTTCTCAAAGAAAGCCATCCAAGGCTCTTAACGCATCTGGCTGAACACCGTATTGCCAACCACGGGCTTGCGTACCCTGAATGGAGATTCCTCCGTGTCGTTTCTCCCAGAATGTGAATTGTCGGAGCAGCTTCGGGATTGCCCATTTGATTGGAAAGCTGCACCCGGCGTACGGCACGAGTCCCATGTTTTCTTGGGGACGGACAGGACCCGGGGCACCACAAAAACCCGACGCTCCAATCAAGCAGCCAAGAGATTGAACTGCATAGAATGTTCAAAGCCCGGTATGTGTGCCATCAGCCAATGTATGATCGGTACCTACAACACACCCCCGTCAACTCCCAAACGGCCCAGAGGGCCCCAATCGGTCCGCACAGATTTGGCACCTCTTGGGCGAGCGTAAAGTTGCTGAACTCCCGAGTAGATGAAGGTTAGAAAATGAAGCCCAAGCTCAAATCGGTGCAGCCGCCTTGCTAATTCTTGGTTCTGAATAGACAATTTTGGCACCAGCTTTTCATTTTGACTCAACTTCATTTGCATGGCATATGACTCCATCCTTTTTTAGAGTTTGGTTGCCCTTGTCCATACCTAGCTGGGTGTTCGTTGCCAACTGAGGAAAGTTGTAAGGGCAAGCGTTGGGTCATGACCCGCTCTTGAGTCCCCGGTTCAGTGGGGGTTGTTGACCTTGTTGTTCGGGGGTGAGACAACCCAAGTGGCGATCCCCACTTACTAAGTTGGCGAATCGAAGATCCAAGTAGGTCCTGAGGTGGACTTGGGAGACATTTGACATGTTAGTGACTCAAAGTGAAGCAAGTAGTAGAAATTCGATTCTATAGCTGGTTGCCTAACTCCAGGTCTTAGACACAAATGATTCCAATTGTAACTGGTTGCCTATCTCTGGGTGATTCTATAGCCGGTTGCCAAAGTCTCATAGGTCTACTGGTTGCCTTACTCGGGTCTAACTCGAGCTTTTGCCTCGGGCTGCGTCCAGGACCAAAGCACCCGCCTCATCATTTCTGCGCTCTATGAGCTGAAGCAGCAGAAGGCCCGGGAGGATTCGAAAATTGGAACGAATTCGATCGGATTCGATCGGATTCGATCGGATCCGAATGGAAGGGGTAACAGCAGGTGCGCGTCGTGGTTAGAACGACCGAAGGTTTTGTTTGTTTAGCCCACCCAAGCCATTGTAATTGTCCTTACCCAGTGGATCCAATTAACGCTTTTTTGGGAAAGGTAGCCAAAGGAGTGCCAGCCTTCAAAGACCAAAAGGAGCATGACTGGTTGCCCACGATTGGGGCTTAGGATCCTCGTAAGGTTATGACCATACGCATCATCGCTTCAAAGCCGTGGGTTTTTGTAGGAATTTGAGCATGATCACTTCTTCTCATACCTCTGTGCCCTGCTGCCTTTTTCGTGCGAAGACACATGCCCCAAAAGCCAGCTCTTGGAATTGACTGGGCCCGCCCCACATGGTGTTGAATGTGGGTGTGTCTTCAAAATAGGGGACCATGTTTAGGTTGGTTTCCCTTCGGTTTCCCTGTAAACCAACATCAAAAACCCACGACACAACCACGTGAATCTGCAGGGGATGCAACTCAGACTCCGGAACGTACCATGGTGCTTAGTTTGCTGTTTTGCTTTGAAAGAGCATTGAACACGGCCCCAGTGTCGAGACCCTGATCCAACTCACGCAAGTTGTTTGAGGAACCCCGGATTCCCTTCGAGGGTCAAATAAGCGGAAACCGTTTCGCAGAGATTTGGAGGGGTCTGAGCGTTGTGGGTTTCTCATCATGGGGACGTCATTGTTTTGTCTTTTCTATTTTTCCGGGAAGGCGCAAAATGGTGATATGTTTGTTGGCTTCCTTTGAATCCATCCCAAAATGGGGACGCCCTCATGAAAAAGACATACCCTGATTGGAAAGGGGATACCCTTGTTGTGTTTGCTTGGTTTTGTCGGGGTTCTGCGGTCCCTCCCAGTGGGATTCGACAGTCCGTAGGGGAATTCATCATCATGAACAGAAGGAAGGTGAGTCAACGAGGGCGCATGCAGCACGCACTACTCACAAAGAAGTCGCGTCCCCAAATGGGTGCGTGTCAGAATGGGGGGGACCCCTGAATAGGTGGTGTTCATCGTAGTTTCCCTTGAAAGCAACATCTCACAAAGGGAGCATGTGCAACATAATCCATAGCCCCAACGAGCGGCCAAGGCCAATTCAGAGACCCTCCTTCCAGGTCACCCCATCCTCCAAAATTGCTCGCAGGAAGTCGCTGAACCATCGATGTCCCGGTTTGCTTATCCCTTGCTGGACGGTCAGGATCAGGCGCCCTTTCCACCCACGTCGCGGAAGACTCAGACCCGGAGAGCGCATGCAGGACTATGCAGGGCTGGCTGTGGAATTGGTTGGAACAAATATTGCGTTGGGTTGAGCAAAACCCGATGGCTTTTCTAACGTTTCGTATTTCCTGCAACATTTCAAGCCCGGCAAATCCAACATGGCAAGGGCTACCTGGAGCACAAAGACGGTGAGAGTCTCAGGTATGATCCCGACGCGGAGTGGCAGTTCACCAACATGACCCAAAAGCAGAAGGAGTGAGCCACATCAGCCGCCAGCGCGGTGTGTCAAGGGGGTGTCAAGGTGTGCTACCGCCGGATGGCCCCTTACAAGGGGACCCAAAGGGGGTTGTTAGACAGGTGTTCACAGGGTTCACACTCGCAAATTCCAATATACATGCCCTTGAATCTGAAGCAGACACATTCCGGGCCTCTCCTACCCCCCCGGAAACCCTCTAAGAACCCTTTCTTAGAAGGTTCTGACAACCTTTGCAGAGGGGTAGGAGGCCCTTGATTCCCTATTGACACAGGATTGCATGTTAAGACTGACACCTCGCAAGGCATGGGCTGAGCTTGGGTCGTATTCGCGGCGTTTGGATGGTCCTGAGAGAGAGAGCCTATGGGGTGCTGCATGGCTACCCCAGAAAACATGGAACCTGAAAAGATGTCCGAGGAAACTGCTCTTGATGGTTCCCTGGGCTTCTGGGAGGTTGCCGGTGCTCTGCAAGACTTGTACATGCCATGGTTCAAGCACCTGGGATTTTCAGAAGGGCAGAATCTTTGCTCTGATGTTCTACGGATCCGTGGCCCTCCAAATGGCGGCGGAAAATGAGGCTTCGGCCAATTTGCTGTGATTTATCTTGTGTCACAATGGTCAGAGATGGCTGAGATAGCGCACGTTGGTGTTGCAGGGTATGTTGTCCACAACCTTTTCCATGCAGGAAGTTTCAACCATGCGACGATGACGCCAGGTACTTTTTCCGAGTCCTGTTGGAGAAGCTGAACAGCAGCATGTGTGCCATGTGCTTTCCTGTTGGCTGCTGCCTCAGGTGCTTTGCTCGACATATTATTTCACCGCCCTATAGAAGACCCCTCAAAATGGCTGCGGTTGTCCTTTTTGGTTTCCCTGTAAAACGACAAAACGGGTACCAACTCCAAAACAGGCGAGTCCAGAAGTGCAGCTGAGCGTAAAAAATGGCCTGGGCAAGTTGGCCTGGTGACTTGCAAAGAGTTTGGACGTGTTTGACCAATCCTCTCAGGAAGTAAGAGTATAATGTCTTATCACTTGCATGCAGTGCTGCTGTTTACTTGTTGGCTTTGGCCATTTTGGAAAATGATGTTGACTTTGTTCAAAGACAACCACCAAACAAGCACATCATTTGCGTAAGGTGCGCGTTGGTGTTTCGTCTAAATTTGGAAAGTACTCCCCTACTGATCAACATGGAACCCAAAACACCACCAGGTGTAGAGGAAATGCCTTTTAGGGGACCTCTTGGGTGCCCAGATGCACGAAACAGAAGCTACGGATTTGTCTCCACCAAATGCTTGGCCAAGTGAGTTTATCCTAACAATCCCCAAAACCGATGGCCTCAAGATGGAGGCACGGGGCCAGGACAGCAAAGTGATCTTGTTCAGTTCGACTTACGACATGTTGTGTTTCCCAAATGATGGACCCGAAGCAGGAAGCGACCAAACACCTCCCGGTTGAGTGACACCAAAAGGTGTCGTACCCCGCCTTTTCTCTCAGGCCCGCAAGCCTCAGCGAGCCTGCCAGCCATCGGGAAGGAGAAAGAGGCGAGCGTGAGCTTTCAGCGCTTTACGGGATCAGGTACCGCGCAAGTGGCGAGCAAGCCGGATTAGAATCCGCTTAGACTTCCAACCGTGACAAGTGGGGTTATAACCATGGTTCTTTCCCACTTGCCGCGGTACCCTGCTCCTTTCAGTGGGCTGATGTGGGAATGTCTCGCCGGTTGGAAGGGAGTCGGACTCGGAGCTGGGGGTATCCAGCTGGGAGCGGTTCAGGAGCCGATCGGAGTTCTGGAAGGACACGGTGGTAGGGAGCCCTTGTTGAACATGGTTGAGAGGCTTGGACCAATTCCTGTGTGGGAAACCTTGAGAAGTGAAGCCAATTGGCCCAACCACCGCTGTTGGGCAGCTCTTGGGGTTGTGGACATTGGAAAAAAAGCAGTCGCTGGAGGCTGGCAATCGTGAATTCTCTGAGTTTCAAGTATGATTTAAGTTTGGGTTTTAAACTCAAGACGGAAAGAAACTGGGCCACTGGGAGCCTTGCGAGGATTGGACCATCCCACAACTGCCCTCGCTCTGAAACAGCCTCGGGGAGTCAGAGGTTCGTCAAAAGCCCCGGGCATATCCCGCAAGTGGCATCCAGCAAACCTTACAGTGTTTTGGTTGTTTTGCTTATGGTCAGGCACCCTTAGCTGGTGCTTTGAATTAGTGGTGTGGGTTCTTGTGAAGGGTAAATGGGAGATCAGGTCGAAAACTCCAAACCACCAAGCCAAACCACCAATTGGAGGGAAGCTGATATGGGGCATACAGATGTGAGCCGGAGTCTCGAGAGACCCTTCCCGATTCCCACCATGAGTTGTGTTTGTGTGTGTGGGCGTGTTTGTGAGTGGTACGTGCGTGTTTGTTTGTGTGTGTTTCTGTGTCGGTGTCTGTGTGGGTGTGTTTGTGTGTTTGGGTGCGTGTTTGTGTTCGTGTTTGCGTGTATGTGTGTTTGTGTGTTTGTTTGTTTGTTTGTTTGTTTGTTTGTTTGTTTGTTTGTTTGTTTGTTTGTTTGTTTGTTTGTTTGTTTGTTTGTTTGTGTGTGTATGTTTGTGTGTGTGTGTTTGTGCGTGTGCTTCTTTTGAAAGGCTCTTTTGCTAGGTCGGCTACAAGGGAAACCAAAAGGCACAGCCATTTTGGGGTCTCCCTGTTTTGAGACGTACCATGTGCTCTTCCGGCTTGATGGGCTTGCCCATTCCCCAGCTGCCGAGTTTGACCACGATTTGACTGCCAGGGCGCACGCTTCTCGCAGTTCCTTTGGTCCGTCGCAGACACCGGCTCAGTGCAAGGCGGGAAATTGGGGCAAGGGGATCGACGGACTTGAGCCGCGGAGCGCAAGGTTGGCTGTTGAACTGTTAGCTTCCAGCTACCGGTGTCAACCAGGGGCTTCTCCATGTTTCATGGTTCGATGCAACTTGTGTACTCGCAAACTCGCGACCCAAGGAAGACTTGACATCGGGGCCAAGTCTGTCCTGCAAGCTTTGGTTTGACACACGTGTTTTTTTGCTTGCGCTGCCCTTTCTGCATTTGACTCATATTCTGGTTCAGAGCCATAGCACGGAGAAACGCTAAAGCCTCCCAGCAAAGCTTAACAAGAACTTCCGAAGTGCTGGAGGCACTTGGGCCTGCTTTCTTTCAGAATGCTGATGCTGTTAAAAAGCCGAAAAAAAGGCTAGAAAGCGGGAGACCTGGGGAATAGGCGTGAATTCGGCTCTTCCATGTGTGCGCACGCCACCTCGGTCGAACGGATGTGGAGACGGGGACCATTGGCACGGCCGCCCGCACGGCTTCGCAGCCATCGAGCATGAAGCCTTGCGCACCCTGGCGGAATCCAACTAACGTTGCGGTTCGTTTTGTGTTGTGCCCTTCGCTCGCGCAGACCTCTGCGTACTTTCGGAGGCTGACCTTCAAGATCTCGGCGAATTTTACATTGTTTTACTGCGCGCCATCACATGATGAAGCCGCAATGGTGAAGCCTCTGTGTGCTTGCGCCGGTCGTCCATTCAACAGCTCGAGCGACATTTTTGCATTGTCGCTTCGTTCGCGGAGCCTCTGCAGACTTGCAGGGGGTCGACCTTCAAACTCAGTGTTTTCGGTTCGCATGCTTCACCCCTCGCGAGGTGGAGAGAGAGGGGACGAGAGAGGGAGTGAGAGGGAGGGAGAGAGGGAGGGAAGGAGGGAGGGAGAGAGGGAGGGAGAGAAGGAAGGAGGGAGAGAACGAGAGAGAAAAAAACGAAAGAAGAACAGAGAAAGTCAGAGAGAGAGAGAGGGAGAGAGAGACAAGGGGGTGAGAAGCGCGTTCCAACACACAGGCCTTTCATGTTTGAAACTTGCAGCCCGCTTCGCCGGTTATACTGGTTGTGATGTGCAGTGATTGGGCCAAAATACAGTACAGGCTTTGGCCTTTCGGGCCGCAAGGCTCGCCGTCCTTCTCCCCCCCCCCCCCCGTCTAGGAGGGGCCTTGCCCTTGGCTTCCCCAACAGGGTCAAAGGCAATCCTTGTGTGTGAGCTTCCTGCGAGGTTCGCGGCAAGAGACGTCTACGAAGGGGTGTCAGACAGAGACAACAACCTCGGATCCGTGTCTCAAGGACAGAACGCGGCTCCGAGAGTCTGGGAGCAGCAAACGGGCGGGGCAGTTCCCGACATCTCCCCTTAGTTTATCCAAAGGAAACCGAGCATCGCCCGGAAAAAGGTCTGGCAAGAGGGTCTCTTACTTCAGCAGGTTGTGGGGGACATGAGTCATGCTTTTAAGGACTGGATGGGCGAGATCCATTCACTCTTGGGCTTTCGTACCCAAGAGTGAAGAACTCACTTCAATCAAGTGCAACAGATGGCACAGATGGCAGAGGTTGAATTGCCCTCACACTGAGCAGTTTGAGATGGAAGGCTGTAAATTTCAATCGAAACTGGACGAGCCTTGTGCTGTGTCTCAGTGGATCCCAGTTCCTAGCAGACCAGTCATTTTCTTCTCCCCATATTATTGCGCAGGGTTCTTTCTGATGTCGTCGTTTTTCCGCGGCGCTCCTTCGCCCTCCTCCTTCCTTGCTCTAGCACACACTGAGCTTACACTCGCGAACTTACACATACCTACTCAACTTACATTCACTGACTTGCGCATACTGTCTTTCAGTCACTCCATTTACACACTTACTCTCGCTCACTTTACGCATACTTACTCTCGCTGAACTAGCTTACGCTCACTAACTTTCACTTCCGCTGGCGGTCGGCTTCGGGCGCCTTTCTGTTTTTCGTGGCAGGCGCAGAACTTTGCGCATGCCGAAGCTGCACTCACTCACACTTACCTCACCTCACCCCACCCCACCCCACCTCACCTCACCTCACCCCACCTCACCTCACCTCACCCCACCCCACCTCACCTCACCTCACCTCACTTCACCTCACCTCACCTCACCTCACCTCACCTCACCTCCCCACCCCACCCCACCCCACCCCACCTCACCTCACCTCACCTCACCTCACCTCACCTCCCCACCCCACCTCACCCCACCTCACCTCACCTCACCCCACCCCACCTCACCTCACCTCACCTCACCCCACCTCACCTCACCTCACCCCACCCCACCTCACCTCACCTCACCTCACTTCACCTCACCTCACCTCACCTCACCTCACCTCACCTCCCCACCCCACCCCACCCCACCTCACCTCACCTCACCTCACCTCACCTCCCCACCCCACCTCACCCCACCTCCCCTCACCTCACTTCACCCCACCCCACCCCACCTCACCCCACCTCACCTCACCTCACATCGCCTCACCCCACCCCACCTCACCCCACCCCACCTCACCTCACCTCACCCCACCCCACCTCACCGCACCCCACCCCACCCCACCTCACCTCACCTCACCTCACCTGACCTCACCTCACCTCACCTCCCACCTCACCCCACCTCACCTCACCTCACCTCACCCCACCCACCCCACCTCACCCCACCTCACCTCACTTCACCCCACCTCACCTCACCTCACCTCACCTCACCCCACCCCACCCCACCCCACCTCCCCCCACCTCACCTCTCCCCACCCCACCTCCCCCACCTCGCCTCACCTGACCTCACCCCGCCCCACCTCATGCCTCACCTCACCCCACCCCACCTCACCCCACCCCACCCCACCGCACCTCGCCTCGCCTCGCCTCGCCTCGCCTCGCCTCGCCTCGCCTCGCCTCGCCTCGCCTCCCCACCTCACCCCAGCTCACCTCACCGCACCCACATCACCTCACCGCTCACCTCACCTCACCTCACCCCCGCCCCGCCCCACCTCACCCACCCCACCCCTCACCTCACCTCACCTCACCCCACCCCACCTCACCTCACCTCATCTCACCTCACCTCACCTCACCTCACCTCACCAACCTCACCCCACCCCACCCCACCCCTCACCTCACGCACTCCACCCCGCACCCACCTCACCTCACCTCACCCCACCCACCTCACCTCACCCCACCCCACCCCACCTCACCTCACCTCACCTCCCCACCCCACCTCACCCCACCTCCCCTCCCCTCACCTCACCCCAACCCACCCCACCTCACCCCACCTCACCTCACATCGCCTCACCCCACCCCACACCACCCCACCTCACCCCACCCCACCTCACCTCGCCACCTCACCTCACCTCACCACCCCCACCTCACCTCACCTCGCCCCACCTCACCTCACCTCACCCCACCCCACCCCACCTCACCTCACCTCACCTCACCTCACCTCACCTCACCTCACCTCACCTCACCTCACCCCACACCTCACCTCACCCCACACCTCACCTCACCTCACCCCACCTCACCTCACCTCACCTCACCCCACCTCACCTCACCTCACCCCACCTCACCTCACCTCACCTCACCCCACCTCACCCCACCTCACCTCACCCCACCTCACCTCACCTCACCCCACCGCACCTCACCTCACCCCACCCCACCTCACCTCACCTCACCTCACCTCACCTCACCTCACCTCACCTCACCCACCCCACCTCTCACCTCACCCCTCACCTCACCTCACCTCACCTCACGGGTCAGGTCAGTTCGTTCGGGATTTGGGTGTTTTAAGGTCCTAAAAAAGAATAAGGGTTTTTTGCTCAATCTTAAGGGTTTGCCAAAGCCAAAAAAACACACATTTTGCAGCAAACCTCAAAGTGTACTATTGATGCCAGTTTCCTCCAAACAAGAATCAATTTGCTTTTTTGGGAGGGCACCAGGCTGGTTTTGCGCGCTAAGCCTTAGGGGTGAGACAGCTTCACGCACCTACTGAAAGGGTCTGGGGTCGTCTAAGCAGAAATGAGTCTTGGCCACCAAGACGAAAGGGCTTGAACTGTTTTTCGGGAAAGACTTAACTATGAAGCCGCCTCTTCTGTACGAGCGAAGTGCGTTGTTCTTGAGCCCAAATTCTGCCCGCATTTTGGCTAGATTCTGGGCTTGCAATTGCAAGTGTTCACAAAGAAAGCAGTGACCTGCAACAAATCCTGCATGGGCACATTTTTGGGTAGGTTCCCCGTGAACCAACTCCGAACAAGCTCCGCACGAACTCCGAACGAACTCCGACCGAACTGCGAGCAAACTCCGGACAAACTCCGAACGAACTCCGAACGAACTCCGGGCGAACTCGGAACAAGCGAACAAGCTCCGAGCGAACTTTGGCACTGTTCCCGAGCCAACTCCGAACACACTTTGGCCATAAGTATGTGTTTAGCTAAGTATTTTGGTGGTCAAACTGTTTTTTTTATGTTCTTTTTTTCGGGCTTACCAAAAGAGTCCAAGCGATTAAAGTTCGTTCGGAGCTCGTTCGGAGTTCGTCCGGGGCAAGAATAAGCCCCGATGTGTTTTTGTTTAAAGAACGCAAAAAACACAGCCTGAAAGAAAACGAGCAAAAAAACAAAACAAGGCCGAAAACTGAAACTTAAGGCCGAAACACAAAAAATCAGCTCCTGGTCCGGGAAGTAAATTCAGCCCGAAAGATACATCAAGTGATCAAAAGAAGTAATTTCAACAAGTGGGCTGAGAACATGTTTGTTTGCCTCAAAAAACACCTTCCCAGGCCACTTGTTGAAACTGGCCCCTGTAATCACTTAGCCTCTTTTGGTAAGCCCGAAAAAAAGCAAAAAAAACAATTTGACCGGACCACCAAAATACTTAGGCTCAAACACATACTTCTGGCCAAAGTTTGTTCAGAGTTGGCTCGGGAAGAATGCCCAGGTTCGCTCGGAGCTTGTTCGTTTGTTCCGAAATCGCCCGGAGTTTGTCCGGAGTTTGCTCGGAGTTCGTTCGGAGTTCGTTCGGAGTTCGTTCGGAGTTTTTTCGGAGTTCGTTCGGAGTTCGTTCGGAGTTTGTTCGGAGTTTGTTCGGAGCTTGTTCGGAGTTGGTTCAAGGGCAACCTGGGGCCTCAACGTTCTGCTCCGTATTATGTAGTGCGTTGCCAAAACCCTAAAAAATGTGCCCATGCAGGACTTGTTGCAGGTCACTGCTTTCTTTGTGAAAACTTGCAATTGCCGCAATTGCAAGCCCAATCTGCCAAAATGTGAGCAGAATTTGGGCGCTCAGAACAACGTATTTTGCTCGTACAGAAGAGGCGGTTTCATAGTTAAGTTTTTCCCGGAAAACAGTTCAAGCCCTTTCCTCTTGGCGGCCAAGACTCATTCCTGCTTAGATGACCCCAAACCTTTCAGCAGGCGCATCAAGCTGCCTTACCCTTAAGTCATTTTGTTTCGTGGGGAACCGAATTCCCAACGCAAATTGGCAACCCCACCCCACCCCACCTCACCTCACCCCACCCCACCTCACCTCACCCCACCCCACCTCACCCTCACCTCACCTCACCTCACCCCACCCCACCCCACCGCAACTACCTCACCTCACCTCGCCTCACCCCACCTCACCTCACCGCACCTCACCCCCACCGAGCCTCACCTCACCTCACCCCACCCCACCTCGCCTCACCTCACCTCACCCCACCTCCTCACCTCACCTCACCTCGCCTCACCTCACCTCACCTCACCTTCACCTCACCTCACCCCACCCCACCCCGCCCACCTCACCTCACCTCACCTCAGCTCTTGATCACGCATGTCGTCGCTTTTCTCGCCTGACCGTGGGATAATCAGCGCAAGCCTCTCCTAAGCACCTTGTTGACCCACCTGCGTGTTCTTTCTTCTTCCAACCTGAACAGTGTGCATGTTTTAAGCAAGTTCCCAACAAGACCGACGTATCACAGCACTGCAAAGCAAACGAATGGAGCCTTGATGACCATAGTCCCAATGATGATGGGGTGCGGTGGGGTGAGGTGAGGCGAGGTGAGGCGAGGTGAGGCGAGGTAAGGCGAGGCAAGGCGGGGTGGCGGAACGCAAGCCATTTTGCATTTGGTGAGTGTTGCAGACTAATCAGATCTTGCTCCAGGCAAGGACCGACCTCTGAGAGAAGGGCGGAACAGCATGCACAGCTGATGGGCCCTGAAAACCTTCACAGAGCGGCTTGAGGCTGCTCAGGTAGCGCAAAGAGGCATCATACCGATCGTCGAGCAGCAGGCCAAGGAATGCGTGAACGTTGCACAGTGGATGAGTCAGAGGTTGCAGCAGCAGCAGCAGACCAACACCGAAACGGAGGAGAGACCCCACCTCACCTCGCCACCTCACCTCACCTCACCACCCCCACCTCACCTCACCTCACCTCACCCCACCTCACCTCACCTCACCTCACCCCACCTCACCTCACCTCACCTCACCTCACCTCACCTCACCTCACACCCACTCACCTCACCCCACACCTCACCCCGCCCCACCTCACTTCCCGCCCCACCCCACCCCACCACACCTCACCACCTCACCTCACACCCACCACCTCACCTTGCCTCACTAAACCACCCCACCCCACCCCAATCCCACACCACCACCTCACCTCACCCCACCTCTCCCCTCACCTCACCTCACCCCCACCCCACTCACCTCACCCCACCCCACCCCACCCTCACCTCCCCACTCGCACGCGCTCGATTGCTCACTCAGTCACTCACTCGCATGCACTTACACACTCACTCACTCACTCACTCACTCACTCACTCACTCACTCACTCACTCGCTCGCTCGCTCGCTCGCTCGCTCGCTGGCTGGCTCACTCACTCACTCACTCACTCACTCACTCACTCACTCACTCACTCTCTCCATCGCTCAGTCACTATCCATTGCTCGCTCACTATCTATCGCCCACTCACTCGGACACACTCGCTCACTCACTCCCTTACTCACTAGTTATCATGGCTCACTCGCTCACTAACATGAATGATTGATGTATGAAACACATCAAGAAAAGGCCCCTGCTTGACAGGAAGCTAGGCATGTGGGTCTCCGTTTAGTTGTTTCCAGGTGGTTCCTTTCGATACTTTCAAAAAGGTAAGTGCATCACGGGTTTGCACAATGCTGTACAAGTCCAAGCTTCGTGCACGGATCCAAACGCTGTGCAGGGCGGCCACCAAGAAACCTTTTTGACAGAAGTCCTGCATAGTCTAGGTAAGAAGTTCTGGATGTCACGAATGACTAACATAGTTTGGAATTGTGCATGTTGAATGTTCCGCGCCCTTTGTGCCTTGTGATCTGCGGAGCACGGTGCATGGTAGATGGCCCAGGGAAGTCAAGATCTGCCATCGGATCTCTGGTGAATTAAGGTTCATAGCCTGCAAGTCCTTGCAAACACAAGTTCAACGGTTGGTCGTAGGTAGTTTTCTTGTTGGGAAAGTGGTTCAGCCATCGCTGGCAGGAGGGGATTTGGAATCCGAAGGGCAAGACGTCACACCTGAACTCCGCCGGTATGATCACTGCTGGAATCGCCACGGCCCCAGAACATTTTGTCGCTGCCCCCCCAAGAATGTGTCTCAGAAGCCAGCTTCAGAGAATTCAGGAAACACCCGGCAAATCCCCGGGGTGGTGGGCGAACTTCCGGTAGATTTCCTGGAGCTGTCTGTCGGAAAAGGGCAACCAACAAGCTCAGAGCTGCGCTGAAAATCGAAACCACAGAGCAGGATCCCAGGAATACGCCGCATGGTTGATATTTGGAGGTTATCACATGTTAGAGAGCATGCAAGTGGTGGCTGGAATCCCACGGTCTGCGATTTGGCAAGGGGCAAACTGGCTTGTGCACGCGAGAGGCTCGTGCACGGGGGTATCACAGGGGCCGACCCATTGTCCCACCTTTCGTCTTTTGGCGGGTTTCCCGACCAAAAAGTACTGTAATGCACTAAATGACTAAAGCCGCAAAGCGGAGACTTTAGTTTATATTGTATTTCCCACCATGGTTTGCAGTGAACATGCACCATCATACACCCTAGCACCAGGAAGTGCGCAGCTATTCTTTTTAGATGAGGAACCTGTGCGCATGTATGGTGGGAAGGGAGCTCCTTTCCGCCCACTTTCGGATCGGCGACAGGTCACGGGCAATGTGCGGAACTGGGGCCCCAAGGCGGTGACGCACAAGCACCGCGGGCTCTGATTCGCGGACGGGAAAAAGCCACCAGGCGGAAGAACCAGTCCCATTCAAACGGTAGGTTCACGAAAAACGGTAAGTTCTAGAACACGGTCCCTCAGTTTTTTTCTTTGCAGGACCTGCAAAAGTTGCTTTCCTTTGGAGGGAGATCCAGTGACCGCTGCAAAAGAAAGTGGAGGTGTTCCACCGTAACCGACTGAAGGAGCAGGGATCGACTTGCTTTGTTGAACCAGACCTAAATGTCATGGCCGCAGAAAATATGTCACAGGAGTGAAACAGTGGAGACCATGGCGAATTGGAGTCCATGAAGTGTCTCACGAGCCACCCGCCAAATGGCGGGATGGCATAGGTGCCGTTTCACCCTTTGCCACAAACGGTAAAGCACCAACTTCCAGCCAATCTCATTGTGTCCAACTCCTTTTCAGATCAACAGTCCGCCAAACAGAGAACTTGGATAGCGTGCTTGGAGCAAAACAAGTTGGCCCCATGCTTAAGGTTCGGAAAAAAATGCATTTGTCCAGTGAATGAATTCTTGGATATCCTTCGTGCAGCCTTCCTTCCCATGCGCTTTTTTCTCTGGGGAAGATGCGGATTGGGTCGATGACTTCGACACGCCAACCACAGGGGCTCAAAATTGTGCCGCCTTGGCAGACGCGTCGCTCGGCTCGCTTCGCAGCAAAAGACGCGTGCGTTGGCCCTGGCACATGGATGTGTGTGTGTGTGTGCAGGGGAACATGATGGTTCGCTTCTGTTTCCGTTTTAAGCTTTTAGACCATCCCAAACGGGCTACCCTCAAAAAACTACGCGCCGCATGGAGTGGGAGGCCTTACCCCAAGATGACTGACTCTTGCGAGCCTGCCTTTTGCGCACGCAAGGCTTGTGTTGACAGCAGCACATACAGAAGAATGAGGTTTTTGTGAGACTGGCCAACATGGGATGTCAAGGTGCAGACGGGTCCAAAGGTGTTTAGCCAACCCTTGAAAGGGTAGAATTCGTGTTTTTTTCCTGGGCTGGAGTTGGAATACATTTACTATACATTTACTCATCGCAGATGATTGGAAACACCCAAAATGGGTCTCATGGGAAGTAAAACGCCCCAGGAAAAACATGGCCGGATTTCCCTGCGCTTTCCCAACGGTTTTTTCCTTCAAAGCAGACAAGGTGGCTGTTGATATCTTAGTTGGATGGTCTGCCTGGTCAATGGTTAGTTCCCTACAAGGGGTTGAGTGTGGGTTGACTAGTAGAGGGGATGTCCTTAAAAGGTGACCCTGAATTTGACCCTGCTGACCGGTGTTGTCTATCCTGTGGCTAAAGATTCCCCGCTTGAGTCTAATAATTATTTGTTTTATTTGCTGCTCAGTCAAATGAAATGACGCCATCAACATGGTGGGTTGCCGGGGGGGTTTGCCCGCACGGAATGATGGTCAGTCTTGGACGTGGGTTGGGAAATGTGCAAATCCTATGCGAATAGCAGTGAATCGTGGCTTTGGTCGGGTCACGGGAAAGCCTGCAAATTTCCAACTTCGCGTATTCGAATCTCAGATTCGAATACGCGGTGCTGGCAGGCGCAGCGTTCTCATTTGCTCCAGGACTGCGGCTTTACTCTCTTAGTGAGAGACCTTCAGAAAGCCACCAACACTTTCATGCAGCTGTCCAGGCCAGGCTGCCTTGTTTTTGCGAAGCAGACAAGTGCTGGTCACTTGCTGGCAGAACTTCTGTTCCTGCTTGGTACTGAGAGCGCTGCGGAGATAAAGACCAGCATTCGGGAAGGCAGCTCCTTCAAACGCAAGAAGGCCCAAGCCAGCTGCCTAAAGCCACCTGCGGCAAAGAGGCAGCATGTCAGATAAGCAAATAGGACTGCGCAGTTGCGTAGAGCGCGCAGATAGCGAAGAAGTCACATGGCGTGTGGTGAATGTGGGGCTGGGGGTTGGGATCGACTAGATTGAAACACAGGTTGGCCTCGACATGCTGGACACATGGACCTGTGTTCTTTTGTTCTTTCCATGCCCCCCCCCCCCCCCAAGTTCCCTCCCCCCCCCCCCCTGGACAGGCGCGAACTCTCTGAGGGTCGGCATGCGCGGGGCAGCATGAAAGTGCCTTGGTTCCAGCCCCCCCCTCTCTCGTTTTGCATCAACACTTGAACCCCCCCTGGAAAAGACGGGTTTGCAAGGAAGTAGCATGGCAGATGCCCAGAGCGGTGTTGCTAGATTTGGCACACATGTGTGTACAAAACTAAGTTTCTCGATGTAACAGAGCCTGTGCTTGAGGTATGAGTGCATGTGCGCGGCTGTCAGCTCTAGATGCTTCAGGCCAAACGAGGCCCTGGGCCTGAGAGCGTCCAAGCCGAAGCCAGCCAGTATCAGCCAGTTCAACGCACCGGGTCTCCAAACCTCAACATCACCGGTCGCCAATTTGGGTGGAAACGGTCTTCTTGCCGCGGCCACAGGTCTACCCTTGTGACGATTGGGCCATTGCAGAACTCCCATTGTCCCTAAAAAACTTTGGAATCCTCGATGCATCTTTGCCCCAAAAGGATGAAACAGGTGGCAACCGAACAAGTTCACATCCAACCATGCCGCCATTCACGCTTTAAACCTGATGCAGAGTTTGCCGCGGACGCCCCTGTGCTATTACTACAGTAAGGCGAGAGATGCCCGCGGGACGGATTCGGCGCATAAGTCTACACACCATCAAAAGACTTCCGTTTGCTGATATTTTTTCTTGGTTCCCCCCGATGGTTGTGAAAGGGAATCTATCACTACTGGGTAATTATGTTATTATTTGACTGTTTTTCAGGGGGACTCAAGCAAATGGAAGGTTTGGTTTGTTCATCCTTGGTTGTCGAGGGACAAAATTAAACCACCAGGGGAACGCAGGGTTTTGGTCTGTTTCCATATACCAGGATTCCATTTTGGGTACATATGTTTGACCTACAGGACCAAGAGCAAACGGGAAGAACACAGCCATAGGTGTCCTGTTTGGTTGTTTTCGTGGAAAAATAGATGCCGATTCCTGGTTTACCTGGTGGTTTAATCATCTACCAGTGAAACCCATCTATTTGCCCTAAAAGGACACATGTGAACACAGCCCTTCCAAAGCGTAGGCGCCGAGTGCCTTGCTGGCAGAGATCGAGGCGGCCTATGTCTCGCCCTTCGGGCCTGGATCTTTGCCGTCAAGGCCCAGGACACCATGGGTTGCTGTTTGGCGGCAACCGGGGAACCGAAGGGAAACTAGGGTTCCCCGATCTTTTTCAGAGAAGCCCATATGAGTGCTTTTGGAGTGGGCTACCCAGACCCCTGATTTCATGTGGTTTTGTTTTACCTCCCCCCCAAGGCAGGAGGGATGCGATGAGCTCTGTTGAATCATGAAGCCATGCTGCTGCACTTTGAGCCAAAGTCAGCATTGAACACACACATTTTCCCGCTGTCGAATTACGGACGTGTGCTTCGAGATTTGGCTGTGAGTCTCAACCAAATGTCAAAGCGAGAAAGTTGAATCGCCCGCACACCCGTGGATTTGTTTTGTTTGTATTCCCAGACCCCTAATTGCACCGCCGCTCGCCGTCCTTTTGGCCGAACAAAGGGACCCGTTCATTGATGTCAGTTTTGACCCAGGCAAGTCCCAGGACTCTTCGATTTGTTTCAGCTTGGACGCACGCGAAGACAACGGAATTGCGCCAGCCACTGAAAGCTGCAGATGAGACTGTCCCATGGGCATTTTTGGTTTCTGCTTACTTTGACCCCATGTTTCAGGGTCAAATGGAGGAACAGGCGTCCATTGGGCGTCCGGGCCCATTGAGTGAGCGCATCCCTCCGGCGCCTTTTGCCTTGAGAATCGAGAGGACCTTGAAGTCTCCGCCGAACTTCATGCTCCTCGTGTCGCACGGGGCAGCATGTGGCGACCTCAGAGGGACAAAACACGTAGCAAGGTGATGACCCGGCTACAAGTCCCCGATGTATAAATTGGTGCGTCTTGTTTAAGGGACCTCCCCCCAAAAAATGAGAATGTGATCCTTTTGTTTTTTCTTTGGGTAGCCTTAAACAAGGACCGACGAACAAAAAGCATTGCCGCTTGCTAGCCCTGCAAGCTTCCAGTCTTTGGACTCGACAGCTTCTCAGTTTCGCCTTTGGGTCGAGGGACCCGAGCGGTTGATCCAGGCCAAGCCTTAAGGAGTACGTACGACGCCACAAAGCTGCTGCTTCCCCCGAACACGCCCTCCACCCCCCACCCCAAATCCCAAACCCTCTTAAAGCTTTCCCAAGGTGCGTGTGTTTGGCCGGGATGTGGTTGGAACTCAGCTTGCACTCTAAAAAGGCACATACATTGTACATGTCGCGCCCATGGATTACATACAGTTGATGCCCGTTACTGTAGATACGGAGATGACAGCATTGGCAAATAGAGGGTCTTCGCAGACAGAAGGCTCCAACCAATTACACAGATCATGATTCTGCTATTATCAGGGCATAAGTTGGTTGAACTGTACCCCGCAACCGCATTCGTTATTTATTAACCAACCCATTTTCGTGTCCCAACAATTATAGCCATGGTTCTAACTTATACCAAGTAGGTTGAGCATCCAAGTAATGTTAAGATCAATCCAGAGGACGGTAATCAGGGGCGGTTTCCTTTCAGAAAGGAAATGTTTTTTGGGCGTTCGTCTGATTGGCTGCCCCGGATTAATGCGAGTTTGATATCTTATAGGTACATTGCACCCCCCCTTCAATGGAAAAAGAAAATGGTCTTCCAGGATTTCTCAGTCAGTTTCCATGTTGGTAGACGCTGTAATTGGAAGGACTGGAAGGTTTTGCAAAGCCAAGGTGGCTGTGGGTCAAGACCAATGGGATCCCATTTTGGTTGGTAGGTGAATTCACCACCCATTTTAGAACCTATTTTAGTGGTTGGATTGATTCGGATGTTCTCTGGGGGCTTCAGCCGGTTTGGATTTTGGCCCATGGCCCAGGTGATAGCTTTCCCATTGTGGCCCACGCCTACCACCGGCTCGCAGAAGAGGGCATTCCACCCACGGTGCTCATCATCGGCACGAACCACAGGCGTGGGGTTTGAGGCGCTTAAGGCTCCTCGCTGGGGATATATGTTTGAAGGCTGAATGTACATGCCCTCATATGAACCCGAGTCTTTGAGTTAATTGCCTGCTGGTTGTGGCTTAATTGTAAACGCTTCGCGTTGCCCGCCTCGGCCCAGCCTAGTTTGAGGGAAGGGTCAGGAACACCGAAATCCAGTGTTGGGAAGGTCCGAATCCTACTGAAAGCTTGTGACCGCACCAGTTCGCCCGTGCTAGTTCGATGTTCGGAAGCCGTCCTGCTCGGAAGGTTTGAAATCCAAAACCAAGACTATCTCAGCTGCTCAGTGCCCTTGGAAAAAAAAGGACCTCTTTCTGGGGATGAGCATTTTTAGTGGGGCTTGGCCTCCATAAAAAGGGGAACAATAATTGGTGTCACTGAACAACCAAGACCAACTTTGGGTGTTTGGGCACCTCCATTTCACGTGGCTGGCGGCTTGCCATGACATACATTTCTTGCTCGGTTGCTCAGCCCAAGACAGGTACATGGTGGGAATACAAACCTCCATTTGCTTAAGTACCCCGGAAAATATCCCCAATAGACACGCCAGCAGGCGGGCTGAGGGACTGGGTCTGAGGCTAGTCTCAGGCTGGCATACCTTGAGACGCCGAAGGGGCTGCGCCTGGTCAAGGCCTGGTCAGCCTGGGCTGAGCTGCTTGGGCAGCCGGACTGGGGGGCTAGGGCACGTCAGACAGGCTTGGCTGGCACGTGAGACTGGTCGTTGGCCTGAGGCCAGTCTCAGACACGTTAGACAAACCTGACCTTGGCACGCTGGGCTGAGCCTGCTAGGAGCTGGGGGCCGGCCTAGTGGCTGGCATGCGGCTGAGATGCGTCGGGGCCTCGGCTGGGCAGGCTGGGCTGAGGTGGGTTGCTGGTTGGGCTGGGCCTGAAGCTAGTCTCAGCCACGAGGCTGCGAAGCCATGGGTGGGTTGCTGGCTGCCGGGCAGCCGGACTACGCTGCTGGTTGCGCCTGGAACTTGGCTGGGCGGGCTGGGCTGAGCTGTGCTTGGGCGGGTTGCTGGATGGGCAAGGCCTGTTTCATACACACTTGGGCCTGAGGCTGGGTGGCGAGCTGGGCTGAGGCCAGTCGCAGACACGTAAGACACCTCAGCAGGCGGGCTGAGGGACTGGGCCTGAGGCTAGTCTCAGGCTGGCATACTTTGAGACCAGTCTCAAACTGCGCCAAAGGGGCTGGGGCTGCTGGATGACTTGGGGCCAGACGCGACCAGGAGGAAGGCCTGGCCAGCCTGGGCTGCGCTGTTTGGGCAGCCGGACTGAGGGGCTGGGGCACGTCAGACAGGCTTAGTAGCTGGCATAGCTTGAGATTAGTCTCAGACACGTGTTGGCCTGAGGCCTGACCTTGGCACGCTGGGCTGAGCCTGCTGGTGGGCTGGGAGCTGGGGGCCGGCCTAGTGGCCGGCATGCCTGAGATGCGCCGGGGCCTGGGCTGGGCAGGGTGGGTTGCTGGCTGCCGGGCAGCCGGACTACGGGCTGGGCTGAGCTGTTGCTGGATGGGCAAGGCCTGTTTCATACACACTTGGGCCTGAGGCTGGGTGGCGAGTTGCTGGCTGGGCCTGAGGCCAGTCGCAGACACGTAAGACACGCCAGCAGGCGAGGGACTGGGTTTGAGGCTAGTCTCGAGCTGCTTGACAGGCTTAGTAGCTGGCGTAGCTTGAGACCAGTCTCAGACACGTGAGACTGGTCGTTGGCCTGAGGCCAGTCTCAGACACATTAGAGAAACCTGACCTTGGCACGCTGGGCTCTGGGCCGGCCTAGTGGGCCTGGGCTGGGCTGGGCTTGTGGATGACTTGGGGCCGTGCTTGGGCGGGTTGCTGGTTGGGCTAGGCCTGTTTCAGACAGCTTGCCTGAGGCTGGGTGGGTTGGGCTGACAGGCCTGGCCAGCAGCAGGCGGGTTGCTGGTTGGGCTGGGCCTGAGCCTAGTCTCAGACACGTCAGACAGGCCTGGCCAGCAGGAGGTCATGCTTTTCAGGACATTTTGCAATTGTCAGCACATTTTCGACAAAAATGGAGCCGACGAACCCCGAACAGGATTTTGGGCAGCCGACATGGGTGGGGGGGGGTGGGGGGCGGCCCGGCAAAAATTTTGGTTGGGGAGGGGGAGGGGAAAAGCGAAGATTCTCTTTGAAGAAGAGATCTGACCGCCCTTGGCCCCTGAAACCGGAACCGAGGCGAATTATGGGAAATCAGCCCGCAAAGGGTCCAAAATGGCCAATGGTTCGTATGGACCTATACAATCAGCCTTTAAATATGTGTGTGTGTGTGTGTTTCCCATCGCGTTTTCGCCATGCTAACCATCAGAAGCCATCCATGGTAAACGCTGGCAAAAATACCAAAGGGTTACCTGCAGTCTTTTGGGGGGTTCCCGTATGAAGCAAAGGGAGTTTGATGCTTTGGGGGACGGCGGGGTAATGGAACCCACGTTGGCATGCAACCACAACCGCCCCCCCCTCAGTCAGGTTCCTTGTTAGTGGTTGGGAGGCGGGGGAACCATCCATCTTCCTCCATCTTGGCATGTGTTCCAGGTGGAGCCGTCTTTAGGGCCTGCGGGATTTTCCTAAATGGCAACACGCCATGCACCTCTCAAGATGCCGGGCGCAAAGATCCCAAATCAAACCAGCAAGCGTGGGCGAGGAACTGACTTAGGCTTATGGGTGGGTCGAATGAAGGGTCCCAGGGTTACTAACCAGTCAAGCGAACACCCATGCATGAATCGCCAACTCCAATGGGGCCGGCGAAGTGGAAAAACCCGAAGGCGTCTGGGGCCACAAGACCAGCCATGTACAAATGAACCAACACAGGTAACACAGGTGTTATCCTACTGAAGATGTCCTGGCGAGGCAAGATGAGCCCAATGCAAATGCTGAGCTTGGCATCCAAGAGAATAAGTCGGACAGCTTGCTTGGCCTCCATAAGTTAAGTGTCCCTCTCCTTTTGTCTGTTGGAGGGGGGGGAAGGCCTTGGAAAAGACCTCTCGCTTTGTCTCTCGCTCCGAGAAGCGGTCCCAAAACGACAAGGTTTTCCAAGCGGTTTCAGGCGGGTGCCCATGTTGAGCACACTCACAAAGAACGGCAGAGCGTTGCTGGTGCTTTCGCCGTTGGGGCACAAGCTCGTCTTTTTCTGAGGGTACCCTTTTTGGATGGTTTTAAAGGGAAACTACAAGGAAACCGCCCCAAAATGAGTGGTGGTTCTGATTCCTGGAACTTCGAAGTTTAGACCGCAGGTGGGTGTCACTCTTTTCATTGTGAGGGTGCCATCTAAGTATCCACTTTAGAGAACCACTGGTTGATGTCAGAACCGTAGAAGCAACTCTGGACGGCGTTCGCTGAAGAATTGAAAGATTTGGCAGTGAATCTGTCTTTTGCCCGGTTGTACCATACCCTTCATCAGAGTTCCCTCCTGGTTTTCCCATGGAAGGTAATGTGTTTTCCCTGGTTTGCTGGGTTTCCCAACCACCATTTGCCTGGTTTCCCCTGCTTCCACCGAGCACTCCTTGGGCTCGGTCGGCGCCTCAGGTGCCTGGGCGCCAACATCGCGCTGAGCCGAAGGCCATGGCGAAGCCCTCTGGGCACCTCCCAGGTCGCTCTGGACACGCGGACCGGACACGCGGGCGGACACGCTGGGCCCGGTGGGTTGTTTTTTTTTTCCCGCCTTGGGTTTTGGTTTTGGAAATGTTGGGACTTTGTTGGCTCTTTGTGGCATTTGGTTTTGTTATGGGGGTTTGGACTCTTTGGTTTTGGGGGTTTGGCCTTTTCTGGTGCTTTGTGGCATAAGGCCCCTGATTGTGTTTCGCCTCTGTGCTTGTTTCGCTTGGTCGGCCTTTATAGAAGGCTTCTGTGGTAGAGGCAGGTACATTTCAAGGCCCGTCTCCGCCGATCCGAGTGCAAAATTGCCAGTGTTTGTTGCAGAAAGCCGTGGCAAATTGGGCGCCGCGAAGAGTGTTCACGTTTGGCGCAACTCGGCTAGGTGGACACGGAGCTGCTACAGAGCTTCTTGGACTCAGGGCGTCTTGGAATGGATTTCAGCTTCCGGATAACCAGAAATATGCCCAAGAAGTAACCCTCAGTTCGTTTGGATTGGTTAACGGGAATATAAAATGCTTCGTTAAGTGACCTCGCCTGAAAGTGGATTGATTTGGGAATATCAGATGGTTCCTTCGTGGATTGCCTCTGGCTATGTTTTGGGGTCATTTGACAGTTGGGAAACATTCAGGTAACCCTTTGGTTTGATTCAGGGATTTGATGGGCTAGGTGGACAACCACCCTGGAACACCTCCGAACCAGAAATGTGGTTTGCTGACTTGTCGAGGTCCCACATCTCTTGCCAATGAGCAAATCCAGCGATTGGGGGCCAGGGGGGGGGAACGAGCAAATCCACAAAACGGTCAATGTGGTATGTACTAATTTGACCACAAAAGAGAGTAAGACATCCCCACCCTAAAAATGAAAATAGGGGGTGTGGAATTCACAGATGCCAAATTTGGACCGAACTAGCGGTCGAAGTATCTAACAGGATTTCTACCAATTCACTCCCCACCGCCAGTGCGTTGGCTTGTTGGGTTAACCTGCAGAGTTCAGGTTACGCTGCAACAACTTGATGGTGTTGGCTTGGGTTTAGCAAGCTGCACAAGAGCCAAGTGTCCAAGACACGCTCGGGTGCCTTCGGTCACAACAAAGCAACACAGTGACTGACACGCCACTGTTGCCTGATTTCAATTGAGTTGTTTCCCACCGTTGGAGGGAGCTAATGTCTTCACAGATTTGTTGTTTTAATATTTGAAGGTCGACTGAATATGGAGCAGGAAGTATGATATTTCTCACGTCCACACACATTTGAATGTGTGTCCTTTTCGAGGGTGGTTTTTAAATTTTAAAGGGAAACCAAAAAGGTCCCCTGTAAAACACAGTGGGGCCTGGGAGCTCAGGTATGTGGTGGATGAGCAGGGGCATGCCGCCGAGCACAGTATCGAGAACCAACTGCCCTTCTTGCAGCACTTAGCGCCCGAGGCCAGTTGGGTCCTGCTTCCCCCCACCTCCCCACCTGCCCACATCTCCTTCTCCACTTGACCCCCTTGGTTATGTTTAAAGATGAATCATTATACTTGGAACTCTGGTTTGAAGCATAATCAAATTCACCAGGCACTTGAACCACAATCCAAGCCCGCTGAGGATGGTCACGGAACTTTAAATTTGGGAGAAAGCTGGACAGCCACGTGTTCAGAGTTCCTATTGCTATGAAAGGAATCATGACAACATGAACAACCTGCCTAGATGAAGGTGAGTTCGGGGTAGCTGTGTTCATGCCAGGTGTTGATACTTTCATGTTCATTGGCGGGGGGCGGGGGGACAATGGCTTAGGATTGGACAGTTGGCCCCAAGGCGAGCCACTTGCTCAAAACCCGGGTAGTTCAAGATTAGTAATAGGACAGTCCCAACCATGAATGGGTGCAGCCGCCCTTTTCAATTCTGTACATGGTCCTGGGGATTGACCACTTGGATACCGATCGGTTTTGATTTTGACTCACTTGGTTTCCTAAACCATAGGCTTCTGCACTGGGAATTTGAGAAAGGCTTGGGAATGTGTCCAATGGTTTGCTGGCGCCCAGGGAATGAGAAATGGAACCCCGAGAAAAACCATCCAACTGGCGGAAAGCCGGTTCATTCCCAACACGCAAACTTGTTTTTTCATTCCCAACATGGGGTTGCTTTTCATTCCCAGCCCGACTTGCCAAGTCATTCCCACCACCCAGCAGGTGATTTCCTACTGGGACCATTCCCCACCCCATCTGGTGGAAACCCAACTAAAATCCCAACACCTGTTGTCCTTCCCGCGACTCAAACCAGTTGTCCTTCCCACCGTGGGGGTTTGCTTTTGGCTTCAAATCACACCCCGAGGTGCGGATCCTGGCGCTGGGCCTCGCGCAGCTCAGCTTCGCGGAGGCCCAGAACTTGGCCCGAGACGTGGCGAGGATCACCGCAGGCGGCGGTCGGACGGCCTGACGGTGCGGTGGGCTTGGGTGGTTTTGGTGGGCTTGGTGGGCTTGGTGGGCTTGGTGGGCTTGGTGGGCTTGATGGGCTTGGTGGTTGGGGTGTGGGGTGGGGGTGGTGGGCTTGGTTGGGCTTGGTGGGCTTGATGGGCTTGGTGGACTTGGTGGACTTGGTGGGGTAGTGGGGGTGGTGGGGGCGGTGGGCTTGGGCAGGGGTATGTACGACAAATTCAGAGTCCGTTCACAAGGGATTGGAATTTGCCTGGATGTGTGGGTCGTTTGTTTGAGGCTCGGCACATTTCGGATGGTTGTAAAGGGAAACCACCCAATTTGGGGGTCCCCTAAAAGACAAGCCACCCAAGTTGCTTTCTAGGTTAGGTTGGGACTTTGGTCTTGAACAGACAGAAAGCGTTAGTGTTCATTTTTGCAGAACCCGAATTCAACGGGGTTGGTCAAAGAGTAGGGGATAGTTGGGGTTTAAACCCACTGATGGTGTTCAAAACGTTTCTTCTTCCAGCTTAGATAGGCAGGGAACCAGTTGGAATGACTCCGACAAAAACCTTCCCTTGTGGCTTTAGTGGATCTATTGTCATTCCCAAAAACCCAGTTGATTCCTTACTGAGCATCAGCTATGTTTGATGGCACCGCCATAATGGCTTGGCTTCAAAGGGAATCCAAATGGAACCGTTGGCATTTGGAAAGCTCCTCTAGTCTTGAAACACACGCACATACAACAAAGTGGTTTGAACCACTGTTACGGAACCTTGGGCTTTACAGCCACTTTTTGTGACAAGTGTGTTTTTCTTGTTAGTGATAATGTACTCCTGCCGACGGATGGTGAAATCACAGAGAAAAGCATAGCTGCGTGAATCCCGTGGTAGTTGTTTGAGGGGTTACTACATGGTAGCTCGTGCATTTGGAGAGAACCTTGGCAAAATACTTACTTGCCCATCAAAGCCATGGTTGCCAGTCCGCGTGTAGTTGGTTGTTAGCATAGCTACTTAAGACTTACCAAGTACGCAGGAACAATAAACCTGGATGCCGCCCCGCTTGAGTGGTTGGATTCCTTTCTTCCAGTGAGCCCGGGACTGAATAACTGCAAGGCTGCAGGGCGTACTGATCAGTGGGCATTAGTGTTGAACTCGGACTTTAGAACCTGGTGATCCAGACCCCCTGCACGATCGGACGCCTAAACAAAATCAAGGGGTTGTTCAATCCTGGATCAAAACCGCATTATTTAGACACATGGTTGTATTTTCGCCAAGCTATGCGTACTGATTTGGGGACTTGTTTTGTTTAGGTTGCCAATTAGGGGGAGTTCCCGCCATGTTGAGAACAGCCCACATAGCCCATAATTGTTATATGGTTCTCCAAACTCTGGTCCAGATTAGCATAAACCAATTATCCATCCGTTTGGTCTTGCTGTCAGGCACATTGTAAATAGTTGTGGGGATGCACAGGTTTTGCATGCTGACATGTGTTTCTAATAAAGGAACCTGGAGAGGGTTTCCAAACGGGGCGCTCCAAGATTCTATAGTGTCTTTCTATACAAAGATTCGACGATAAGGCTAGGTGTTCTTTGATGGCATGCACTCATGAATCGCTCGGCATATTGGTTTTAACCAAAGTGCCGAAAGACTTTCTAGCTCACAGTGAAATGAGAGGAGGTATTTTGAAGATAAGTTGAACTGTCCGATACCATCCTGTGCAAGTCCATAATTCATGGTAGGCTTAACACAGTCTTGGAAGATTCGCGAGGTCCTTGACCCCATGTCAAAGATAGAGGACGCAAAAGGTCCCTGGTCTAATGATCCCACCCCCACCATCCAACCACCAGTTTTTTGCATGTTGGAGAAAAATCGCCGCCTTGAGATCGGAACGTCTTGATCCTGGCCACCACCGATTACCTACATGCAGGGGAAGGTTACTACGACCAGCCTCCACGTGGCATCTTGCATGAATTTGGCATGAATTGTTGGGCTAAACGGGAAATAATTTTGCGGGTTAAAGCTTGCATCAAAGGACTGTCATGTGTGTGTGTGTAGCAGCCTAGAACCAATTTCTTAGCGCCCATTGTTAGCACCTATTGATGGTCTACCCCCATATTTGTCATGCCCTGCGCTTTGGATACGGGTGCCCTGGCCATTCAACGGCGAGTCTGGAGCCTCCAGAACTAAGGTATTTTTCAGGGTTGCCCAAATATGAAGCAGCATGTGAAGATGTTCTTTTGGCGTACCCTGTGCGAGTCGCAGTGGTTTCCACAGGAATTCGGCTTGGCAGATCCTCCAATCTGTACAGCTAGTCATCATACGTATTGCAATTGAGGGTGCCCTTTCTGAATTTGTTGAAGCGAAACCAAAGGAAACATCGCAGTTCCGTTTTTTTTTGGGCAGGGGGGGGGGGCGGTTTTTTAGCGCACCACTATGTATTTGCTGGTGGACTCTTAAACTTTGCTGCGAAAGACCGCTTGAGTGGCACACAAAAAGTATAGACTTTTGCATGTATACATATACATTGCATTACATTGCATTGCATTAGATTACGTTTCATTACGTTACGTTACGTACATACATACATTGACATGCATGCATGCATGCATGCATGCATGCATGCATGCATACATACATACATACATACATACATACATACATACATACATACATACATACATATAACATACATACAAAATGCATGTTGTTTATTTTATTTCCCCCCTCCCTCCCGTCCCCACTTCCCAAAATTTAGCAAACATGAATTGTTCAACGTGAGATCTAAGATTCCCCAAAAGTATTTCTTCAGAATCCTGATTATTGAATCTTGAGAAGCGTGACTTTAAAGCCACTTTGAGCCAAATGGGATTCAAGATTCTCTAGGCATCTTTCTCCAGCATCCTGAATCTTGAGTATTGTCAACTTGTAGTAGGCGATTGGCAGCTCGAGCTTTAAGAAAGAACTGTTCAGTATCAGAATAGTGCGCAAAATACAAATTGGCAGCTTCAACGTGCCTGGAACAGCTCTACGATTGTGTGTTTACTCTTATCATGTTGCAGGGTATAGGAGCAAACCTTCAATTGTGCGGAGATGAAATCGTTCCTAGCTGGCTGGCTATTTGAATTGGAAACATGTCCTTGGCCGCTTCCAGTTGCATTCTAATTCAACTCTGTTCAAATACATTTAGTTTGGTTGTCTAGAGTCCAGTCAATCGCATTTATTGAACATCAACTATGAGCATGTTTGAGAGAAACATACAAGCATTGCCCAGCTTGATCTTCCCTTTGCCGGGATCTGACACATGCCAAAAAGATCAAACGCATTTTTCCGCATTTTTGCCAAGAAGCAGATGCATGTTGATTGAAACACTTTCCTGTGATTGGCTTGGCTCAGTTCGTGCTTGGTTTCAGACACATCAAACATGAAGGGCCTGTGGAAGAAACGCAAAGTTTCTCGAAACATTTAAAGGTTACTTGGGCTGTTTTGCGCAACATGCCGAGGCTCTCAGCTTGGTTCGCAAATGTTACTCATGCTTTTCACATCAGCAAAACCAAACAACCAGTTCTTGGACTCAAAGGGAAGCTGTCAGGCTGACTTTGGGAAAGTTGTTGTTTGCAATAAATAACATATATACATATATACACACATACATACATACATTCTGGACTAAGCAGGAATGCAAATGTCCATTTGGGTCTGTCGTTTGTTGGTGTTACCCGTTTGTTAAAGGAAAAAAAACAGCAAATGTGGGTCCAAGCTTAACGACGAGCGCGTGACTGGACGTAGGTCTTCACCTGCACGAGTTCATCCGTCAAAGGGATGCCCCGGTTTTGGCGGCGGTGGCGGCCTTGGACAGCGAGCTCTTGCTGCGAACCGCCGGGGCCACCGGGATGCCGCTCGGAGGCGCCAGAAAAATTGGAGAAGCCACCGGGCGGTCCCTTGGTTTTTGTTTCAACACGAAAACAAGAAGGGGCGGTTCGAGAAAATGGCGCACCTCGAAACCACCTGTGTTTCCGCGTCCAAAGCGCTGAAAAGGCCGCGTGTTTGTGTGGTGTTGGAAATCCTGGAGGAGAAGTGAAGATGTAGTACGGATGGATGGTGGCATCACGAAGCAGAAATGTCTGAAGGTTGTTTGAGGGCCAATCCCCCAGTGTGCTTGTTGCGAAAGCAGAAGCGGGACTGGGGTCGGTGTCCTTGTTGTGAGGGTACGGACGGGGAAATCAAAGAACCCGCTGATTTTGGGTGGCGGGCTCCCTATTTTGATACAAAATATTTGTTCCACGTTTCCCTTGTGTGTGTGTGTGTGTGCAGACTGGGTTCCCGTTGAAAACCAAGACCTGCTTACTTGGCTTGTGTTGGTGTTGTGGTTTTTCTGGGCTAATCAGTAGGGACCCCTACTGTACGTACCCAAAATGATGGAGTATTCACAAGCCAAATGGAGTCATGATTGTAAGAGCATGATATTGTGTCAGTTCTGCTTTCTTTTTTGTGCCAAACTAAGTGCTTGGAGTGAACCCCTTGAAAAATACTAGACATGTGCCCCTTCTTTTTTCGGCCCCCTGTTTGGCCAAAAGGACTGTAAGAGGAAAGCAACAGGAAAGCGTGCTCGTTTTTTCCGCTGGACTTGCCTTGAAGTGGGGAACCCTGCAAAAGCATTGCACTGGTACTGGGCAATAGCTTTAACATCACAGTTGTTGGATTTGTCCCAGGGAGTAGGGTTGTTATTTTGGTGCCAAAAAACAGTATGTTGTTATTTTGTTTAAACTTCTTCAAACAGCGAAGCAAGTCTTGGTGGAGGAGTTTAGGGTGGGAGCAGCTTAGCATGAATCAGGGGGCATCGATCGAATGGCAACATTACGAAGCAGCGGGTTTTGAGGGCCGATCAGTCTGGCACTCTTCTACCCGCCAGAATGGTTCTTAGCAGCCTTCGATCAGAACCGGTAAGGATCTTCGATCAGAACCATTGCTGGGTTTCGGGGGCCTTTTGTTGTTTGTTTTGTAAAGCCCCACTTCTGGGGGTTTAAGTCTTCTGATTCTGGTGATTCTTAGTGGGCTGCAAAGTGTTTTGCACCCATACCAAGGGTTCGAAAGGCCTCACTTCCCGGGGTTTTTGCTGGTCGGACCCGAGGCCATGCGCCTCAGCTCACTGGCACTTGTTTCGTTCGGATCCCAAGATCTGGGTTCCCTTTGTTTTTTACCCCAGGTCCCGGCTTACAGAAGACCCTCATCCAACTTCAGTGGGGTCGCTTCTGGAAGACCTTTGGACCTTTCAACACCTCGGTTTGGGCAAACTCTAAAGGTCCAAAGATCCAAACCCAAAGGTCCAAAGGTCCAAACCCGCCTCTAAGAACTCGCTTTTGGAAGACCTTTTACCGGGTTGGACCTTTGGACCGGCTGTTCTTCGCTCGAGTCGGAGCGTCCGGGGCTTGAGGTGCGGGCTGTGGCCCGCTGTGGTGCTGCTCCTTGCCGCCCAGGAGCGCCTCGATTCGGAAGCGGTGCGGAGACTGGGGGAGATGTATTTGTTTGTTTGGCGGAGATGTTGTTGTGTTATAATTGAAGTAGATACATGTGTAATCATGTGTATGTATTCATTGATTTGTTTATTTGTTTATGTATTTACTCATGTACCTATATACATATATATGTTTGGAGGAATAAACTTTGGGGGACCCCAAACATTGTGGCTGTCCTTTTGGTGTCTCCTTAGAACTAGAAGTATGTGAAGTGCCTTAAGTTGCGATGTGGAACCCCCGAACTGGCGGTTCTTCGTTGTGGTGTCCAATCGCAATCCAAAAAGCACTTCATATAACTTCAGGTTCTCAGGGAATCGCTGCATTTGGGACACAGGGCGGGGATGAGGAAAGCCCGCCGGAGAAGTACTGGTCTCCAAAACGATTGTATTTCGGGTAAAAATATGGAGCGGACACTGAAGATGTAATTGTTTTGCGTAAAGAGTTGTGGAAAAGATTTGAATCCTTGGGGTTTATAGCCCTTTATCGCCAAGTACCATCAAGAATCCCTGGTTTCTGGTGTGTTCTAAAGCTTTGATCCCAGGAAAATTGTTGGTTGCCGTGAAACCCAACCCTGAAGAACTGTTTTGCTACCCTCCTCCCATAATGGCAGGGGAAGCCATGGCAAAACTCGAGGTGAAATGGATGGTTGCCTATACCATTCCATTTGTTTGACAGTATGCTTCATTTGTTTGGTTTCAAAGGGAATCTATCACTACTGGAAATATGTTTCCCGGAATGATGCCATGACATGTCCAACCATGTGGGCGAGGGGGTGAAATGTCCGAACTAGTCTCAGGACAGCGGTTTGGAACTCCAATCATTACGCCATGTATAAGGGTCGTTGTGCATGGTAGACATACTGTTTTGCTGGGTGAATTGGCTCCCACAAACGTCTTTGGTCCTGAAAGTCCTAACCGCATTGTCCAAGTTGGTGGGCATAAGCTCCATGTATGTCCACCACAGGGTGCCCAATTAAGATTCAAATCCATGTCATTGTCAGACTTCCCTCGGCTTTTGCACTTTTCCCCTTTTGGTTGTTCTTCATTTTCCCCTTCAGCTAAGAAAAAGTTGTTGCCTTCGCAGGGTCTAAGTCGGTTCAAACCCGACTTGCAGATGACCAAGGCTGGGCTTTACAGAGTGCCAGCTCCTGAAATATGCCGTCAGCGGAGAGGCCAGGGCTTGCTAGTCGCACGCTCTAAGCGTGTCTGAGCACGTAGCAAGGGTGGTGTAAAGGGAAACCACAAGGAAACCCAGCACATACCCACATGTCCACTCCCACTGCACATGAGTGCTGGGCTCGACGTTAGAGTTTGAGCCACTTCCCATCGGTGCAAAGTCGAGGAGCGAATGTAGCGAATGTTCTGCTGCAGGTGTTTGAACAAATTCTCTTCTGGACGGTGGGGAGGCCAGCACCGTTGAAAAGTTCAGAATCGCAGGATATTGTCAAGAACGCTTGTTCGACACGGGACAAACCCCTGATACTGGTGCAAGAGAAGCCAACTATTTTGAGATGCTGGGAAGCCAAACTTGCTTGGGACACCATTGAAAGTAGCGTGCCTATCCTACCTGCATGTGCAGTGGTGTGCCTTACCAAAAAACCCTTGCCGTATCCTACCTTGGAGCAGGTCAAAGGGCAGCCCATTCTCAGCCCCCTTTTGAAGGCGCCCTTCAATATGGGGTCGCAATTCCCGCGTGTGCCTAGTCGCGCCTATCTGGCACCCGTGTCTTGGCGGCTTTGTTACTCCATGGCAGTGAATCCATTTGTTTCTGGTGGCCCTTCGGCATTTTGAGCTCGCGTTACACATGATGTTTTCTCCTCAGATGACAACTGGAAGCAACACGTTACGAGCCATTTACCAAGTAGCCGATCTTCGGGGTTTACAACAGAACGACAACCTGTGGTTTGCCCCCTGGTTGCCTTACTCTGCTGTGTCTTGTTTTTCCGGGCACTCTTTTTGCTGGCTTCCCTCAAGGTGGTTTACTTAGATTGATTCTGGTCGTTCAAAGTTCCAAGCCACCAATCCACCACTCAAGGACCGAAATCAATGGGGTTGCCCCGATGAGTCTTCTCTGGCAATGTCTAAACACACGTGCTGCGGTTCCTGTTTGCCTCGTCTTATGGTCAAAGGAAGCTTAGAAAAAACTTCCGTGCTGCGGCAACTAATTGCAAGCCAGCTCTTTGACATAGATGGCAAGAGAAGAAGAAGCACGCGGGGAAAATTGCGAGCGAGTGTGGTGGGGAATAGAAAAGGGAAACCTAGTCGCAGCGCCTCGTCGGAGCGTGTTCCGAATCGGGCCCCTTTGCACGGGAGTTTTGCGTGGCAGGCGCAGCACTTTTGCAACGTACAAAGCTCGAGGCAGGCGCGGCAAGACATAGATAGATAAAAGATATATAGATATATAGATATATAGATAGATAGATAGATAGATAGATAGATAGATAGATAGATAGATAGATAGATAGATAGATAGAGACATAGACAGAGGGGTAGGTAGGTAGGTAGGTAGGTAGGTAGGTAGATAGGTAGGTAGATAGGTAGATAGATAGGTAGCTAGCAAGAGAGGTAGATGGATATAGTCGAAACAAGCTAGATAGAGAGATAGGCAGAGAGTTAGAGAGAAAGAGAGGGATGGGTAGATAGGTTGACTGGTTGATATGCAGAAAGAGATATATATATATATATGTATATAAATAGGGAAAGGAAGAGATAGATATGGACAGGTAGGCAGACAGATACCATAGACTGATGTTAGATAGAGCAACAGAGAGGCAGATAGCTAGACACACAGAAAAATTGGTAGATAGATATAGATAGATAGATAGATAGATAGATAGAAATATAGAGAGAGAAAGAGAGATAGGTAGATAGATGGAAATACAAATAGAGAGAGTGAGATATTGATTGATAAATAGGTAGGTAGGTAGGTTGGTTGGTTGGTTGGTTGATTGAGAGTGAGAGACAGGCAGATAGGTAGAAATATGTACATATAAATAGGTAGGTAGGTGAATAGGTAGATGGGTGGATAAGCAGGTTGCAGAGAGAGAAAGGTAGCGAGATAGGCAGAGAGACATCGACATATAAATAGAGAGAGAGAGAGAGAAATAGGTAGAGAGAGGTAGATAGTAGATAGATAGATACACAGTTAGATAGATAGATTCACCGAGAGAACGAGAGAGAGATAGGCATGTAAATAGAAAGGCAAGTAGGGAGATTGATGAGTCAAAATAGGGGCAGAGAGAGATAGATAAATAGATGCCTAGACAGATAGATAGCCAGATCAAAAAGAAAGACAGCAAGAAATACAGAAGGAAGGAAAGGAAAGGAAAGGAAGGGAAGGGAAGGGAAGGGAAGGGAAGGAAAATGATTGAAAGAAAGGAGGAAAGAAACAGAGAAAGAGGGGAAGAGAAGAAACAATGAAATGAAAGAAGGAAAGAAAGAAGAAAGAAAAAGATTGTGCGGATCGACTGAAAGCCTATGAAAGCACTGTTAACCCCAAATAAACCCCGTATGAATCTATACAGACATTTGTAAACCCGTGTAGTGGCCTTCGTCTCGGGCGAAATCACCGGAGGTCTTTCCAGCCCCGGGATGCACCGGCTTCGCCAGCTGGTGGTTGGAGAAAAGGATCACTCATGGCAAAAAGAAGTTTCGCGGGCTCAGGCGGTTTTTGGTTTTGGTGTTGCTTGTTTATGTTGCTCGGGCTGGGGGGTTTGTATGTGTTTGTTGTTTCTGGTCGTTTTCGGCGTCAGACCAAGGAATTGTATTTTGGTGACAACAACACAAATTCAGAATGTCACCCTCAGAAGCTGTTTGCATGCGCTTCAGCGGCCTTAAGACCTGGTGTTTTTCTACCGCCGTTGCAGTTTGCCACTTTGCCGGTTGTTGTGGAGGGTAGACACCTCAGGCAGACCCATAGGTCGGGGCCCCTCTTCGGATCGTGCTCGGCAAGCGATTTCGCAAGGGCGTTGCTTTGTGACCTGGTGAGCGATGAAGCTCACTTTTGTAGGGTCCCCAGCTTTTCAAGTTTTCGCTCCTCACGGCGTGCTTGTCAATTATCCCCAGAGGCCATGGTTTTGACATACACTGGGCGGTGAGAACGCACCCTTGGAGTCCTGGCTGAGGATTGCAGCATGCAAGAGGGCTCATAAGCCGAGCAAGTGGCAACACACTGAAAACACATGGATGGCAGAGCACCCGTGCTTGAATCACGAAGCCTTGCTGGCAAAAATGCCAAACACTTGGGCACGGGCAGCGCAAAGTGTCTTAAAACCAAGGGGCTCCCGTAAATGGGTTGTTTGCCATTTGATGTTCCGTTCCAGCCCCCCCCCCCCCCCGCAATCGGATGCCAACTCCACGTTCAAGTCCTTTCCATAGCTCTCAAGGATTAACAACCCAGAACCTTTTCCCAAGGTGGCATTGCAAGAGTTGTTTTTTCTTCGGATCAACGTACTTCCCGCGTTAGCACACCTGCGTGAGCGCACGTATTGCGCTCGCTCCCGGCCATGAGCCTCCCGGAGACTTTCGCCAGACTGCCTTTGAAAGACACTTAGCCTGGATGGCCACTCAACTTGGGGAGTTCCCTTTCGGCTCACCGGCTTCCAGGCAGGCCAAAAGAAACTGTCGGGTACAATGGGCTTCGCCTGGTTTTACAAAGTGTGGCTTGCCTCGAAGCGCTGGGTTCACCAGCAAAGAACTCAGCTGTTCTTGACATGTCTTCTACTTGAGTTCTCTTTTTTGGTTTTGTGCATTTCTGGCGGGTGGCTGCCAAAGAAGTGGTGTGCTGACTTTTTCAGCTGCCTATTTGCCCTGGAAATCCACTGAGGAAATGCACTCAAGCCGGTCGACGCAAAGCCGGACTCTTCAGGTGTCAGATTCTCATAGCGAGACCTCGGAGGAAGGGAGTGGTGGATCGGGAAGGTTGGTGCCACATCCTTTTTGGTTTCCCTTTCCCTTCCAGCCAGCAAAGTTTGGCTTGTTGCCGGTCTCAGTCTCGTTAAGTTTCATAGAACTTCGGTTCTAGTTGTTTTTTTTTCACAGCAAGCGTTGAGACGGTCGGCTTGATGTGGCCCTGGCTTTGCAGGTTGGAGGTTCCGGGTAGGTGGCTGTTTGGGGAATGTCTTGCATGGTTGTGTTGTTTTCTGTTTGTTTGTTTGAGAGAGACGGAAGCCTGACAAAAGCGGTTGTTTGTTTTCCATCCAACATAGCGAAACTCCCCCAGAGAAAGCAGGAAGTTTCTGATGTGTCTTCCATTTCCACATAAACTGGAGTTTCGAAGCACTGTTTGTTTGATTGGTTTGTTGGTTTGTTTGTGTGTGTGTGTGTCTTTTTTTGTGTGTGTGTGTGTGCGTGTTTGTTTGTTTGTTTGTTTGTTTGTTTGTTTGTTTGTTTGTTTGTTTGTTTGTTTGTTTGTTTTGTTGTGTTTGCTTGTTTGTTTGTTTGTTTGTTTGTTTGTTTGTTTGTTTGTTTGTTTGTTTGTTTGTTTGTGTGTGTGTGTTTGTTCGTTTGTTTTGTTTGTTTTGTTTGTTTTGTTTGTTTGTTTGTTTGTTTGTTTGGTTGGTTGGTTTGTTGGTTTGTTGGTTTGTTGGTTTGTTGGTGTGTTTGTTTGTTTGCTTGTTTATTTGTTTGTTTGTTTTGTGTGTGTTTTTGTTTGTTTGTTTGTTTGTTTGTTTGTTTGTTTGTTTGTTTGTTTGTTGTTCTTCACAAATCGGGGAACCCGCAGTCAGAGGCACAAGCTATGAGACGCACAGTGGCACCCTGAGCATTGATATAACGCAGGGCAAGAGCGAAAGAGTACTGCGCCACAGGAGTGGAGCCACATTGCGCGGTGCCAGAATTGCAAATATGCAAAAGACAATCGCAAAGATCACTGGGACCAATTGACAAAACAGAGGATATCATGTCATATCCTTTGCTGGAAAACCGCCTCGTCCACGGGCCATGACTCAAGGACAACTGGAAGTTGTAAGAGATGGGCGTGGAGTGGCCTCAATAAAGGTCACGATTGCAGGCAGCACTTTCGCTTGCTCCTACCAGCACCACTGCACCGAACTGAAAAGCCCATGTACCAGCACCACTGCATTGCTTCGCTCCATCCGCCTGAAGCTTCCGCAGATTGCAAGGGCTGCCCGTGTCGCAGAAAAACACACCTGTAAACTCTGACCGTTGTGGGACAGCAGTCTGCCAAATCTGTTAGCCATCCAGCAAGTTCTTCACGAATCTCCGACTGCCAGATAGAGGTCATGCGTCATACAAATCCGCCATTGCCTGTAAATTGCAACACTGCAAAGGATGGCCATGGTCTCCGAAATCGTCAGTACCATCGCCCCCAAGCCATAGCCAGGTATGATAGCCGGGACGTCGCCATAGTCGTAGAGCGCCTGGGTGTGTCTTGGGTCCTTTTGTTGTTATGGTTTAAAGGGAAGCCAGCAGGAAAACTGCCAATTGTTTTTTTTGGGGGGAGTGCCCGAAAAAATGATACACCCATATGGAGATGTTGGTCAGGCTGAGGAAGGATGACCCGCTTTGATGTTTTTGGAGGGGATCCGAACTATCAAAAGCAGGGGCCATGAGTTACAGATGCGCCAAGTCCTTCAGTAGCGCCCGTGTCTTCTTTTTGTTCTGGCGCAATATCACATGAGAGTCCTAGTCATTCTGTGCATGGCCCTCCTGGCCAAAGGCTTTCGCCCATTGGAGCAGATGTGTGAGGGTCTCTAGGGTTTTCGGTAAGAACTTCGTTTTCGGACGCTTTCAATGGTCCTTGGATTGTTTCGGCTGAGGCGAAAAGGGTCCCTTGACCGCCGAGATTCGCCTTAGAGAATCCCCAAAATGTGAGTGGGATCCATGTTATTGTCCAACAGGACACCTTACGAGGCTGAATAATTAGAATGGGGTGCAGATTGTTTTTAAACCAAGTTACTTCATGGGACAATGTGACATGTTCGTAATTATGTAGGCCCTTGTTGTGTTCGAGTATGTTCGAGTTGTTTTTTGACGCTAACCTGCCAGGAGCAGCATTGGATCGATGATGCATTTGAACACTTTGTGCAGAAGGCCGTGTTCGCCTTCGGCCCACACTTGTAGTGTTTTTGTTTCTTCTTCTTTTTTCGGGGCAGTTGCTCGGGAATTCGGGCCAAGGGTCGTAAGTCCTAAAAAGAGGTGCACCAAGGATGTCCTTCCCCTGTGTGCTTTCAAAGCAACCTGAAAAGGGTACATACACCCAGGCCGACGAAGGAGGTTGTATTATGGAGCCCCTTTGGGCGTTTCCACTAGGGACTAATGGAATTGGTCCTTTGAGTCAGATGAGTTTCGCTTTCTGTTTTCGCCATCATGGCTTTGGCTCAAATTGGGCAACCCCGAAATCAAGAGTTGTTGCGGGAGCGCGGCTGCGCCCAAAAAAAAACACTCTCTGATCGAGGGATAGTCATCAACCCTTTGTTTGGCGATTCAGGGTAGAGAAGCTTTACCAAGTAAACTAAGTGCAGCATAGGTGTCCTAAAGATTGGTTAGTTTGGCTACAAGTAGATGGGTTCCACAGGCTAACCATGTAGTCTTTAGCCATAACCATGGTCAGTGGCGCGCATTGGCATGGATCCGACTTGTCAGACCTTCGGAAAAGCCATCCACGCGGTACATTGTCGCAGATATGGCCAGACGTCTTTTTTTTGCTGGATATCATGGCTACTTAAGGCGGTCTTCTTGACAAGGCCCCAAATGTGGGACCCTAGTTTTCACAGCCCCCCAGCTGACATTTGCCAGTAGATAGCCAAGGTGTTTCCCAGCTTTTCATAACCTACTAGAGCTGGCGTCCCCAAAAAAACTTGGGAGTCGAAACATGGAAGAGAGTCAGGCAATACTATTTCTCGTGGCCCGCATATGGCCAAGATAGGGAGTGACTGGGATCTGTATGTTTTGGTTGCCCTGTTGCAGGCTGGAAATTTGGCTGGCAACGCCGCTGAGATGGCATTGGCGTGCCCTTTTGGTCGTTTGGAGGGGCGACAGGAGTTCCAGGTTCCTTTTGCTCGTTTAAGCAGCTGTTCTCACTCACTGAGCTTATGCACTCTATGCTTTTTGTTTGGCAAGCAAAAGGTTTTTCGACTTTTTCTGGCCAATCCACTTGATCAGGTGTGAGTTTGGGTTGCGTGATGAGTTTCCTCTTGCTATCTGTTTCTGGGATCTCCAAAACAGCACCGTAGACAGAATATGGGTTTGTCTTAAACAGACACCCACCCTCCAAGAAAACACACGCGTAACCATCGATGTTTTTGACAGTTGGACCACCTCGGGTGTTTGACTTGGATAGTTGAATATGATAAAGCCTTGCCTTTCATTGTCCAGAGCTTGCGGATAGCGCCGTAGCAAACCCTTCGGTATTTTTACCAGGTATTGAATTATGGTTTCCCCTGGTTGCCTACAGAAGTAGTAACTGGAGGCACTGGGTTTGCTGAAGAGTATCGCTGTTCTTTCCTGTTTCAAGGAGTCTACCACTGGAGATATGTTTTCCAGGGGGGCTTGAGCAAATGGAGTTTGCAGACTCAACTTCATCGCGAACCTCAGAAACGCAAACCTTCCGTACAACACATTGCGAGGTGCACCCCAGCTGCAAGAAATGGGTGAGCCGCAAGCTGGAGGTTTATGAGGCCGGCTTCAGCTTGCACCGATATTGGCGACGGCACTGAAGGGGAATTAGTTTGGAGGTGTGGAGGTTCGGTCCCATGAAAAAGAACCAGGGGTTCAAAACGCCAAAGGCTGTCAAATGGCCCCAAAGAAACACCTAGAGGTCACTTGACAAAGCGTTTGATTGTCCGCGGACCAACTTGTTTGTTGCCTTTTGAACCTTCGATTTTTGGCCCCACGCAACCTCTGACTGCCTGCCCGTGGCATGGTTTATGGGAGCCTGCGGTACAAGCCCAGTGATTCCCACCCCAGTGGCTTTCCTGAAAGCACTGAGGGTGCATG